ATTGGCATTTTTTTAACATGTGTGTTTATACAAAAAGTCTTAATTATTTACACCATAGAAGTTCTCGTATGACAAGTCAAATAAACAGTAGCGGGCAACTGTACCAGTGCCCCTTGGGGCATATATACACCACGTTGGGCTCAAGTTGAGCTCAGTGCCCCGCCACCTGCGTCGCTGTCATCACCTAAGTCGTCGAACAGTCCTAAACAAGTAAGTGTTTGCATAAATTATACAAGCTAAGCATTTTTATTTTAAAAAGTAAGTTATTATATTTTGAAGCTTGCTTAAGGCGTTTAAGACGCATATTCATGCAAGCAACAAAGAGATACGGGGTGTGCCACATGGCGCTGTGAAGAGCAAGCAAATAGTTTAAAAGGGTTTAGCTTGCTTCTGCCAGCCAGCAGGCGTCGTACAGTGAGCCAGACTCAACACTCGCACAACAGCTGAGTACAAAGCGTGTTACCTTTACTAGGTGAATACACACCAATTAAGGCATGTTGACCAGACCACACACTAGAAGGTGAAAGGACGACGACGTTTCGGTCCGTCCTGGACCATTCTCAAGTGAATCGACTTGAGAATGGTCCAGGACGGACCGAAACGTCGTCGTCCCTTCACCTTCTAGTGTGTGGTCTGGTCAACATACTTTAGCCACGTTATTGTGACTCATCGCCTGCATACCAATTAAGGCATCCTATAATGCTCCTGTTTAGGTAGTACTTCTTGTAATATTGTGCATCATTGCACATATATTGACGTTATGGACAATTAGATAGTAGAATATGCTACGTTAATACGATATATGTTAACTATTAATACTCGTGTGAACGATACAAATTATGTTGGTACCAGTATATACATATATACATTTAATTAAGTAAATAATTACATATATACATACATTTAAATAACATGTGTATTAAAAATAGTTATGTATTTAATAATACATTTTATATCTAATAATAATTGACAAGAAAATTACATGTCGACAAGCGTGTCAAATATAAGGTAGTTTATTTAGCTCAATTTGACCTCTGGTTTCCAATTGAGGAACCCAGGGTCGTAACAGGCTGAAAACAAATTTACAAATTTCTCCTATACATTGGCTTGGAGGCACAACTGTAAGACCACCGGGAAGCTTATATATAGTGAGCCACGACAAGTGAAGGTATTGTGGGGAGGGGATTATCCTAATAAACTTTAAATACTTGGTTTAAATCAGGTTTATTAGGATTATCCTAATAAGCCTGAAGAGTACACAGGCTTCACTTTAAATACTTGAATTTCAAGTACTTAAACCTGTGTACTATTCAGGTTTATCATTTGATATGTCATGTTATGTGGCTTAATCCTGGACTAGATGAAATAGTTGACCACATAACCCGAATGGACTCAGGGATGGGGTTGAATGAATGACCTAAGCTAAACCTGGGCTAGATGAAATAGTCGACCAAGTGACGGTGTTGTGGTCTATCCTGGACCATTAACAGTCATGTAAAGAGTGGTCAAGT